TTGTGATAGTATGTCGATATTAGCCGTGTTCACACCGCAGTACTTTTCCCACTTTAGTTCCGATATAGTTCCGAAATGTCGCGTTCACACCAAAAAGAGCCAGAACTAAAATGAGTTAATGAGAACCTTTTTACCCCCTTTTCCGTCCCTGCTAGAGAGCAGGTACTTTCGTGGGAGAAAAAGGTTCCTATGTCTGATTGGCTGGGCGGATTGCAAACCACACCCCGTAAAACTCCCAAAAAGTTTTGTGAAGCTGCCATTTTATTATCCTTGCATTAGCATTATTAGCATTAGCATTAGCCCAGCGCACACATGCAGAGAGACTAACTTATGGCAACACAAAAGAAAACATGAGAGCAGTGGAGATGAGGAGGTGTCGGCGTTCTGGCGATTTACTCGGAAGGCTTCAGTAGAAGCTGCTGGGAGTCCCAGCAGCTTCTACTGAAGCCAGTCCCCAACTCCGGGGACTTCCGGCCGGGGACTTCGGGTGGCAGTATACGCCGTGAAGTTGTTTGCGGCCTGCCAGTAAACCCAAAGCAGAAGAAGAAGTAGTGACGTCATTCATTTTACTAATCCTTCCCCAGGGACTTATTCCGGTGTGAACGCGATCTGTACTTAGTTCATGAGAACTAAAGAGTTCTCATGAACTAAGTTCTGATGAACCTTTGTGGGAAAAGTACTGCGGTGTGAATGCGCCTCTTGAGTCTCAACATGTTAGACCAAAGAGGATTAGGAGAAATATCAAATTTACATAGCTAGTATATCAAACCAATTTAGTTTTAGTAGTAACAAATTCAGGGTAAAAGAGGTAGGATTTAAATGTTTAAATGTGTAATATGCATGCTTTTATTAAAGAAAGAAGTCCTACATCCTTGCTGTGTTTTTACTGCAGATTCAGATATAAATGCACCTGGGTCATGTGTAGACACATTTTGGATTTGACCGTGTTCAACTTTACATTATTTTGGGAATAGAACCATAAATACTATTGGTTGGGTTGATTAAAGTGTAGTTTCTGTTGTCCTTAGCAAGCCTTGATTCCAAAATGCTTCACATAACTGAACAGTAACACTGCTAATGTTGTGTTTTGGACCATGTTATCAGCTAAGTTAGCCAGCTAGTGCTAATGATACAGTTTGCTTTCTAAAGCTGCATTCACATGATACACGAAGTTGAGCACAGAGGCTTGAGGTGAAACAGCCAGTTTAGTTTGTTTCTATGGTTACCTCCCCTGCTAGCTTGTGCAGCTGTTATAAAGGTCAGCGGCAATCAAAGTCAAAGTTGAAACATTTGAACTTCGAGCTAGACGACAGTTTCTAACAGTGCGCGGTGCCGAGGGTAACTCTTCCTCGTAGTACGATGGCAGAACTCTCCCCTTTCAAACACAAAGCCAACGTCAGCGCCATTTTACCGCGTTTCATGTGAATGCATCTTAACACTCTATTGTTGGGCTCTTTCACAATGTTACCAGTGTTGCTGTGGGCTACAACATGAGACGTTATCAGGAATCTTCAGCATAAATTATTTTCATTGTTATCGGAAAAATGATTAGGAACTCATGAAGCTCTTGTCAATTTTCTTAATCTAACTACACTTGCTTTTTATCCAAACACAGCAGCAGATTATATGCGTCGTGGTGAGATGCAGTAGAATTGAGCAGCCATGTTAGTAGGCTCGGGGGTTTGTGGCAGAGGAGAAAGCAGAACAGTCCTTTATATAAATATATATACTGTACATGCTGTATATATGCAGTCAGGTTTCCTTTCATCATCCACAGTTTATCAACAACATTTAAATCCTTATATCTTAAAGACCAATACAATACCTTAAACAATGTTCTCTATCTTGTACATTTTACAGATTTAGAAAAATCATACAGAAATATTCACACATTGCTACAGGAGGAAGATTTGGAGAGCTTAAACAAATACATTTCAGAATGAGGCAAAATCCTGAATATGCACACAATAACACGCACAGATCCTACCTCTAGGCAAAGAGCTCACTGAGCAAACACAGCATAGTTTATCTCACAGGAGCAGGAGACAGCCTCTGAGAAACGTTAGCATCTGCGCTACAATGCACCAGTCCAAAGAGAAAGGGCCGTGCTGTTTAATTAAACATGACTGAATATTTAAGTGTTGTATACATTTAGTGAACAAGCAATGTTATCAAGAGCACCTACTGGCAATATCTAAGAAATATACTCTACTAACAAATTTGAAATAAAGTCAGTGTTGCAATAATTGCAGATTTCATGGCCAGCACAAACAAAAGGCTGAATGGAACACTTTGCAGACATGGACCAACCTGCAACATTTCACATGATTTTACCAAGATATTGATTTGGCATTCAGCATAGTGTACATTTCCACGGCACTAATTCCATCCATGTAAGTGTTGACTTTTTGTATTGACGGTAGCTAGATAAAGGGGGGCAGGAATGTGTCCTAAAACTCGTAAATTAGTTAGCACTTCCGGTTCCCTCATCTTAAAGCCAATGGTATATTTAGTGTGTTTGTGGTTAAAAGGCAGAAATAAGACAGTTCATCAACAAAGGCTGAGGAGATTTTCACGTTTGGTTCAAAAACGCGAAATACGTCAGTAAACACTCCACTCATAAATGTCTAAAGCTTATACGTGTCATAAAAACGGCGGTAGCTAATAAGTGTCTAAATTAGATAACCAAAGGTGGATAGTAACTATGTACATTTACTCAAGTATTGTACTTAAGAACAATTGTGTAAATATTGCACTATTACTCCACTACATTTATTTAATGCTTTTAGTTACTTTATAGATCTGGATGAATGATGTGAAATATAATCAAGTGTTAAGTCAGACTTTAGTTCCACCTGGAGTAAATTCACAAGCTACCCTGCAGTATACAAAGTCATTCAAACTAGCTGCACCTTTACCAGCTTTGAGAACACTTTCATGATCAATCATTATAAAACATATCATATATATTATTCTGAAATGGACCAATCTGCACAATGAATACTTTTACTTTTGGTACTTTAAGTATATTTTGATGGCAGTACTTTTCTACTTTCACTTGAGTAACATTTTGAATGCAGGACTTTTACTGTAACAGAGTATTCCTACACTCTGGTACTTCTTCTTTTACTCAAGTACAAGATCTGAGTACTTCTTCCACCTCTGGAGATAACTAAATGTCATCATGCCAAACATTAGACGTCCTTAGCTTAGCGGTGACAATCTGCAGCCTTGAAATCGTGATGTAGTTGTTTATAGCCTAACGAGCTTATAAACTTAAAAAAACCTAAAAGTGGTATAAATATCTCTAGATTATTCTGTTGAACCAAACGTGTGAAAAATATGAATGGTTTTTGTTGCTAACAAAACCCTACTTCCCCACACACGAAAGATGGCAAAGTGGAAGCCATTGGAAATGGAATGAAATAAGAGAAACTGTAAGCAGCAGAGTGCAGTAGACATATCATAAATAAAATAAAGTTTAGAATTTGCGGTAATAAGACTCTTTACTAAACTAACTAAAATAGAAATAGCAGCTGTTTTATACTTTGGCCATTATAAAACCTGTGCTGCAATTGGGCTCTGAAAGTTAACCAGTCTCGTCTGACAAATTGAATACCAAAACACTCTTATTTGTATACAGATTCAGTATTCTGACAGTAATCTGCTTAAATGCTTACTTTGTGACTCGACATGAGCTGGCTGCAGTATTAAGGTTGAAGCAACACCAGCACAGACCTCAATCATGATATTAAACCAATCATTCGAATACAGAATAAATCAGAACCCGGCTGTGATGATAGGACAATGTAGCCTCGTCCTTCATCTACACTGAAATAACTGAAATGTTGACTTTAATTAAATGTATTATGTCAACAGATTTCACATAACTGTAGTATGTTAGTTGAAAGCAATACTATTAAGTTGAACCTAATATTTTTTTATTTAAACTTAATATTATGCTTACAACTACAGTAACCTAATACAGTTAAGTGTACCTAAAGGGCTTCAGTCCGGTATTAGACACACTTCCAAAGCAGCGAGTATTGTTCTCTGCAGTCACACTAAATAACAGTATCATTAAGACATTTACCTACTTCAATAATATCTAATAGCCTGTCTTATATCTTCAATGGCAATGAGGATATACAGGTAATGCTCAAACACTTTATTGTAGGACTAAAAATGTCCTTACGAAATATTATTGTATGTTCTCTGTTGCTCAGTCAGCCATTTACAGTGCACAGGAAAGCTAACTGGAAGCATGTGTGAATGAATGGCACATATCAAATAATAGTACTAGTAGAATATAAATTATAATTGAATTCCTCCCCTGAATCATCCCTCAACTTTAATCTAAAACAAATGAGGGGCAGGAAGTCTTCATGGTTTCTCATCAAATCCGCAGAAAATAAATAAATTCAAGAGCACACATGCAACCCAAACGGTCGGCTGTGTTGGTCTAATGCGATGCAGTAAAGTGATCAAACATGGTTGACCTGAAAGACTTAAAGAAAAGGAAACAATCTCTTTTCCCTCAAGGTTAAAATATGACATCCCTGACAGTCATAGCGTTCACTGAGGACGACTGTGTGTGAAGTATGAAGGATCTACAGTATGTGCCGACGGTGAGGACAATTGTCAGTATCAAACAAGGGACTGAACCTGAGTTAATACAACAGTCTGTACGGAATCCTAATACATTTATTTAAAGCTGTGTTAAAAACACAACTTTTAATTAATTAGTAAGACTAAAGCCTGTATTTTCACATAGCGATAGATGCTGGGCATCTATTTTCTAAGGCTGCAGTAAGCACACACCTGATAAAGAAAACACCACCATCCTTATACGCCTCCATCTTAAAGCAGCAGATAGGTTGGCTAAGAGAGAAAACTCAGGAAGGAGTTCTCCCTGTTCTCAGCTGTCCCTCGTTACGCTTAACATCCTCAGGAGTCTAACTGCAGTAAGCATCTTCTTTAGGATGATGAGTCCTGCGCCTCTCCTCCTTTTTCTTGTCCCCCTCTTTCTCTTTTCTCTGAGAGATAGGCAGAAAGTGAAAATCGGTAAGGGAGAAAAAGTACACTGCTGGGCTGAATCTACAGAGCCACCCTGTCGCTCCAGAGGGAAAAATATCCAGCTGTGCGGCTGCTCCAGCTGTGCACAGAACCTCTCAGGCCTCAGCCCTTCAGCAGGCTCACAAGGGAGATAACCGGCCAACAAGCCAACGCAACGTGGATCAAATCACAAGAGGTCTTCGTAGTCCAGCAGCTTGGAGTGCTGGCGGCTTTTCCACAGGCGGAACAGACGGAAGTCAAAGTACATCTCGATCATCTCTTTGCCTGCAGACACAAAACGACCAAGGAAAAAACGAGATTACATGAGGGTGCTTTATACTGCACACGGGAGAAACTGAAACGCTGACTTTAATTCAATATATGATGTCAACAGATTTGACATAACTGTATTAGGTTAGTTCAGGGGTCTGCAACCTTTTGGACCAAAAGAGCCATTTTGCCCCCTGTTCCACCAATTTGTTTTATCTGGAGCTGCAAAACATATATAATAGCTTGATAGCTTATAAAGTTGTATTTATTGTTACATCATAGACAAACTTTATAATATTATTTCATATAAAGAACCCCTTGTGCGTTTAACTATCAAACACAGCTATGTTTGATAGTTGATCGTTACAAACGTAACCTTAGAAAAAGAGAAACCAAGATATTTAGTATCTGAAATGCGATATTATATATGAATTATAGCCTATAGAATAACAATTAGAAGTGCTTTATTAGATTAAAACATGAATTAAAATTAAACACAGTGTTTTTGTTTGATAAATCATGGGTCTACTGCATTTAAAAAATGAAGGCAGAACGTCCACCTATGAAACATTAATCTCTATTTTAAAATGTAGTGTATTGTTTTCCTATTTTATGTAGCAAGTAACATACAGTTACCTTTTTGTATCCTACATTATCCCGTAACCTTTAATCCGTTAGTCCCAAAGACTGATCAGAATTTGTCCTCAGTACAGTCATGTGACTAAAACACACTTTCTTCTGAATGCTTCTTCACAGTACAGGTATGGAGAGGAAAGGGAGGAAGTTCATGCAGAGAGAGGGAAAACACATCGAGGAGATAACCATTTTAATAGGAAAATAATGAGCATTGCATCAATAGATGTGGGGAAATTACTGGTGAGGATACATGTGAGTTCACACCTGCATGTTTCCTGACGATAAGCCGCTCATATTGTAGCTGAGCTGCTTACTGCTGTTGAATAATGACCTCTGTTAACACTCAGAGAATGAGGAGGTGATGCCAACAGAGCAGATTCACTACACATTCTGGATATATGTTTTTTGTTGTGCATGCAACCCTAATGGGCATGGGTATAATAAACATATTTGTGTAAAGCCAGCAGAAAATGAGTCGTGTGTGTAGTGCTCTCACCCTCTGCAGACAGCTCCAGTGGGGACTTGAAATCCACTACAGCCGGTCTCATCAGCCTCTTAAGAGTCTGAATCAGCTGCAGGGGAGGGGGGGGGGGGGGGCAGAGAGGAAGAGCCACAGAGAGGAATACTTCAGAAATGAAGACAAACAGTAATAATGCTGCAGAGATATTGGTGTATGCAGAGAGCAGGACGGGGCCGTGAGCAGAGTGTTCTGTATATGAACATGTCATTGTGCAACTTATACTGCAACAGGAACAAGAGTACAGTTAAAGACACATATGGTTACGCTTTCTGTCCATAGACAAATCTGCCAGATTAGATCATAGGCTACATGATTTGGGAAAATAATTGTGATTATTTTCACTGATATTGCAATTGTGACATGATTTGCGATAGAGGAAAATATTATTTTTGAAACACTTCACTGAAAAATATGTTAAAATGATCATAGTGTGATTTCTTTTTTACAAACAACTCTGTACAACACAGTTGGTTAGGTGGGATTGAGATGTGTCATTGTGAAAGTATTCCCCCTTTGTGTTTTTTCTATTTAAAGGGGACCTATCATGCAAAATGCACTTTTGTACGTCTTTTATACATGAATATGTGTCCCCGGTGTTCCAGGGAACTCACCAAGTGTCAGAAAACACAACCCTCTCTATTTTCCTCCATACCCAAATCTCTAAAAAAGGGGCTGCAACGGATCTGATAAAAACTGATCCAGATTTCAACACGTTACCGACGTCAGGACAGTGGCGCTACGGCTATTGGGCCAACTCTCCACCTATCAGGGGAATGTGGGGTTGGGCCACGCCCAGGCCATGCCAGGCCTGTAAGTGGCGCTGTAGTCTGCCACAAAAGCAGCGAAGAAGACTTCCCGTGCATGGTTACCATGGTTACCCTTCTGTTTATTCTCCGCTGTGGCTTTTTTTCTCCCTCCCCGAGGCAAGCGTTTGCTCCCGCTGCTTTAATTCAATGCAATCCCTCCCCGTCGAGGCAAGCACTGTAATTCTCTCCGGTTAGTCCACCAGCAGATGGCAAACACCCACCTCTCCGCCTCTTCCAAGGAACGAGGGGACCGTGCGGCAGAGTTTCAGTTTTTTTTTTTTTCGCCGGTCAAGATACCCGTTAAAGTTTAAATCTTCCGGACAAAATTAGAAAAGTGCCGGTCAAAGGTCTTCTTTGTTATTTATTGAGCTTTAAAACAAATGAATAATGACTCTATATAATAATATAATAAAACACAGAGGACAGAGATCTCCCCCCTCTTCTGACAGCCCAGCAGCTGTTCAGAGCACGCTCCCCTCTCCTGCAGGGGGGCGTGGTCAGCTGCAGCTCACAGAATCAGCCCCCTGCAAAAACAGGGCTGGAAAGAGCAAATAGAGCGAAATGAGGCATGGCTAAAATGCAGGATCTGTTTGGTATTTTGAAAAAAAAAACTTTATATAGGTATGGCCCTACAATATATTGTTCAAATATAGCATGATAGGTCCACTTTAATTGCATAAAATACTTTTTTAAAGTTGATTTCTGGAGAGATTATAGTCTTTGATGTACACAACATGCTACCACATTTAAAGATGCAAAAATATTTAAACAAACATGGGGGTGCATTAGTATTCTCCCCCCAGAGTCATCAACCTGTAGAGCCACATTTTGCAGCAGTTACAGCTGCAGGTATCTTTGGGTATGTCTCTATAAGCTTGGCACATATATCCAATGATATTTTTTGCCAAAACTGCTCCAGCTCCTTCAGGTTGGATGAGTTCCAGGTGAGCAGCAGTCATTAAGTCATACCACAGATTCTCAATTAGATTGAAGTGTGTGCTCTGACCAGGCCATTCCAAAAGAAATTCAGATGTTCCACCTTAAACCACATGAGCGTTGCTCTAGCATTATGCTATGCATTTAGTTGTATTCAACATTCCTTATAATTCCATCATAATTCTAACCTGTTACCCAGTCCCTGCGGATGAAAAACATCCCAACATCATGTTGCTGACCCCACCATTCTTCACTGTGGTGATGGTGTTGTCATGGGGATGAGAGGCGATGTGGTTGTGTTTTCCTTGATAGCCAAAAAGTCATATGTTAGTCTCATCTGAAAATAGTTTTTTCTATTTCACATGCCTTTTAGCAAAAGCCATATTTATCTAATCAATGTTTTTTTTCTGGCCACTCCCCCATGAAGCCCAGCTCTGTGGAGGGCATGGCATAAAGTGTTCCTATGTTCAGATACTCCGATCTATGCTGTGGAGCTTACCAGCTCCTTCAGGGTAATATTTGGTCTCTTTGTTGCATTAATCAGAGAGGGCTATTTCTCTACAGATAATGTAGTTGATATCAGAGAACAGGTGACACTTAGATTGCACACAGGTGGGCTTTCATTTAACCAATTATTTGACTCTGAAGGTCATAGTTGGGGCTTCAAAGCAAAGAGGGTTTTTTCATTTTTGTTATGTTGAAAACACCATGGATTCCTTTATGAAATGTTATTTTTTTTACGTTTGTTTAGAACAGGACACTTTGGTTTAAAAGTGGTTCAACTGTCCCAAGTAATACAAAACAGAGAAAGAGGTTAAAGAATCAGAGAGCTGGACAACAGAGAAATCAGCAGCAGAAGACAGACAGGAAGTTAACACTAACAAGAACACAGTATGGGATCTGGTAGTGTTTAAAGACTGGTTCATGGAAAATAAATGTAAACAGACTTGAACAGTAACAGAGTCTCCACATGAAAAGTACCATATTGATTCATGTGTACCAAAAGTACTATTAGAAACGTCCCTTAAATGGGACACATCACGTCAGTGTGATCCCAAATCCTCAGCCTGACTGGGGTCTTATTCATCTCAATATATTCATGTGTTCTTGCAGAGTGAACACATGGATGTTATCCTTCCACTGCATGTGTTTATGTGGAAGTCTGTCAGCCCTGATGGCACTCTCCACACTTTTACTGCCTGCTCTTGTTTCCCCGAGTCTATCAGCTGCTGTACCATCACACATGGAGCCAGGCAGCCAAATGGCTTCTGCAGGTTACATCTCTACACGCTTCTTATTTTTGTTCTATAAAAAGTGTTTCTTCATAAAACTGTATACATTCTATAGAAAGGACCAAGGCAGGTGCATTTACAACAAAAAATAAGAAAGAGATGATCAACTTTGTTGCGTCAACAATCTTCTTTTGACGAGTTACTCTCATTGCCATGAGTGAGATGAGAAGATTGATATAACTGTAAATATGAAGCTAAAGCCTACAGCTGGTTAACTTCACACAAAAAAGCCTTGCAGCAGCTTTAAGGCTCAGTTGTTTCAGCTGTGGTGGTTTTACGGTTTATTTCTCAGGCTATTTCTTGTCTTGTCGTCACTCTGACGTTGCCTGGCAACCAACGGGTCCTTGTCTTTGTAATTTTGTATCTTGTGACATATTGAGGATGAAATATGTTCGAGCCATAAATAAACCAGTTGAAAGATCCAACTGTGAATGTGGAGCAGGCAGAGGTGGAGAGGATAGCTGGGGCTCACAGAAAGGTCTCACAGCATACCAGAGATTTCATGTTTTGCTAAAGTGACCTGCTCTGGTGCATGACCTCCACATTTAAGAGACTAAGAGAGGCAGGCATCACAAGTACAGGATTTATCCAAAACTAGGGTGAGGGTAAAGCTCTCCAGGCTAGGGTACTTCAGGGCTCTGTGACTTTAAAGTCATAGACAGAGACACGTAAAACCGGTTATCACAGGAAGTCAAACTCCTTTTTTAGTTTTAAAACATTCTTTTTTGATGCATATATTTGCTGTGTGAGATGGCTAATAGAGGGATGCTGGGAGAAGTGGAGCATCGTCTGAAGTCAGTCAGTCTATTAATAGTGGCTCTCCAGCTAAGCGCAGGGGAAATGTTCTGACTCATGTGGAGACGTCTAACGTCACTGCTGGTACTTCTTTACCTCCAACGTATGAGGCACAAGCAGCAAAGCTCTATGGTTTAATAATGCATACACTCAAGCAGCCGCCACCATGTCATAGATGTAACACAATTCATTTACAATAAAATGTTTTTTGAAAGCACAAGGCTAAAAAAAAAAAATGACTGTTGGACGTGTGCAACATTTAAAACAGTCAACTGTCAGGTATAGCGGCAGTTAATCAGCTAAACTGCAGATGGAACCCGATGTATTTATACCAGTGATGCACCTTTTTGTGTAATTCACTATTTATGTTAAAGCATATTTAGTCATTTTCTTTCATTATAAGCCTCCTTTTTTTCTCATTTTAGCACTATAATTTGTTGACATAAAACATCTAATTAAAGTCAACTTTTCAGTTTCCAAAAAGTATATGAGTGTCTTCTTCTTTCCGTACCTTTTCTCCGTTAGCGCTGCCCAGCACGTAGCAGCCCATGATGTGCACGAGGTTGGGCTTGGGGTTCAGTTTACTCATCAGCCTGCTGAGCCGCCGCCAGAATCTGGACACAGGGGAGGAGAGGATTATAAAAGTCAACAGTGGAGCGGAGGAGATTAACCACAGAATATGAATACTTTGGAGTATTCCATCACAACATTCAAACCACCTGCAATCTTTTCAAATGTAAAATGTAGCTCCAAAGGGTTGGCTCTAAATGTTCTTTTAAACTGTTGTGGCAGGTTAAGAAGTGTGTGTATGTAGAGCATGATTTAATTTTTTGTCTGTTATTATCAGTATCTTGAACATGTGACTAATGTGTAGCAACATATCATCACCCCCTTACTGTTATACACAGAACAAAATAAAACATTGACTTTAATTAAATGTATTATGTCAAAAGATTTCACATGACTGTATTAGGTTAGTTGAAAGCAATAATATTAAGTTTAAATACAAAATATTAGTTTCAACTTAATATTATTGCTCTCAACTAACCTAATACAGCTTGATATTTGTTGACATTTAATTAAAGTCAACGTTTCTGTTTTTTCAGTGTAATCTGCTGAAACAGCTTTGCTTGATGAGTAATGTCATTTCTTTGCTCTGTATCGTGAGGATAAGAGTTTCTGGTCAAAGCATCAAAATGAATTCCTACTGGATCATGTCTTCTTCCTTCTCCACCTTTGCAAAGGTGGCCACTTTGTTCTTCAGCAGGTACAGATGTCCCGGACCTCCCTGAGGAAAGAGTCATTTCATTATGTCAACTGTTTCAGAATGTCAATCAATTTACTTTGTACGTCATCATTTCATTTTGTTTTCATAATGTCACTTTATTTTTCATTTTGTGCCATTTTTATTTAAATATGTCACTTTTTATTTCATAATGTCACTTATTTAATTATATCACTTTCTATTAAATATTTTAACTTTTCATTTAACTTTCTCACTTTTTATTTGATTATGTCACTTTTAATTTTATAATGTCTGATTAGCCAGTTAGCTCCTGTTAGCTAGAGCAACAAATCAAACATCCGTTATAAATAAGCTCAGTACAAAAATATGAAACTACTTAAATGAACAACACGAAAATGCCAAATATTCACTATAAATAACCCTGCCTTTTTCACCAGGTTATACAGTATTCATGATCGGTGCGATAGTATTCTTGACAAAAATTTCATTCTGAATAAATTGCAAGCAAAAAGGATTTGAGTCCACGAACAAATATTTCAGTTTGGCCTCTAGTTCTATTCGAGATCAAATTAATTAATTATTTTTGAACTGAAAAAGCTAATATTTTTTACAAAATATGATATTAAAATGTAAATGTACTCTTTCTGTGAGGCGAAAATTAATGATATACTGATCTTGTTACCAGGTGATATCAATTCATCCCTCAATCGATAACTGCTAATTAGACAGTACTAATCACATTTCTAAGCCATCACTAATTCAATAACACAGTGGCAATAATGTCGCAATATTTCCGTTCCTCGTGTCACTCACCTGGCAGAAAATGAGCATGTTCCAGATTTTACAGCCTTTTCTGTAGGCAGTCAGCTTCTTCTCTATCTCCTCTGGGACAGGGACACAGAGAGAGATGTGTCACTTTTCACACGGATCCATGGCGGTGATATATATAAATTGGCTGTCCCTCGAGAGACGCTAACGAACACGACTATGAAAATAATGAGTCATCTCTGCCACAGCGAGCTGAAACTTATTCCACCCTCATCTGTTCCACATTTACACTGGGACACTCATTTTCACTTGACAGCTAATAGCCCCACACGTATTACACTCACCGAGGATATCATCAAACGTGGCATGTTCATGGTCCTTTAAATAGAAAGGGAAAACAGAATTATTACTTCATTAAGTGTCCAGAAATATAACCAAATTAAATGAGCCACTGATTTTCTTCACAAAACGTTAGATCGCTCACAGCCATTAATAAAATCACAATTCATTTAGACAAAGAGTTCTGATTTGTCTTGTTCACAGATACATAACGTCGCCCTCCACATCTAAACACTGCTCAAGTAACGTTACGTCTACTCTAGCTTGGGAAAAAATGATACGGCGGGCAACATTTGATCAATTAACTGTTTATCAGACCACAAAGAATTAGCTAACTCTCTCTCCCCTGCACTGAGAAAAACCAAACATTGACTTTAATTAAATGTATTATGTCAACACATTTCACATTACTGTATTAGATTAGTTCAAAGCAATAATATTTAAAGTAATTAAATAATTTTTTCCTCACTTCCTACTGCGTAGAGAGAACTTTACTGAGGGTCAACTGACTGACACACTTTGACTGACACTCACATTTAGCATCTCACAACAAACTAATTGTACTTTGTTCTTTTCCTGTATAAAAACAGCAGAAGATGGTCTTTTCTATTTCCATCAGATGGCAATGTACCACATATCAAAGCCAGGCTGCTCTAACTATGTAAATTGCTTGGCTCTTCTACATTCTGACAAAAATAAACATTGGACAATTTTTCATTCATCTCCTAAGGTTGCTTTTTGTTTCTTAGTTTTGTTAGTTTGGACACTTAAATGAATAGAGCACAACATGGGGTAAGTGTTAAGTATGAAGCTATTCATGGCTGCTACTCACATAAAGAATGGGGATGATGGAGGGGTCGGCCCTACGAATAATGTTGGGAACATATTCAGCCTTCGGGACCTTGGAGGATATCAGCTGTGGAAAACAGGATACGTGCAGAGAAACATTAGCTGTGAGACAGATACTTTGTGTTTAGGTAAATGTGTTAAGCCCAGGGGCCTCATTTATAACGCCTTGCGTAGGATTGACGTGGGAAGGTTGCTTACGTAGTACAAAGCAAAAAAATAGGTACAGAAATGTTCCGACATTTTCCAATTCACAAAACATTGCGTACCGGCGAGGGAAGTGCGTACGGCACTTCCCTACGCCTGTTTCCCTTGATAAATCACAATCGACTCGTAACGCCCATATTTGCCTATAAATAGTCAAAGAAACGCCCATTCATTCATTCATTCTGACTGACTGCATGAAGAAGATCGCAGGAAATGACGATAGAACAGCTAAAAAAAGACATCTCACACCGTGTCAGATTTAGGTTCTTTTGGGGAGGTCGAGATAAATCATATTGTTTGGTGGATGCAGTTTGAACCAGAGTAGCAGCATGGAGGTCGGATCATCACCAAAATAAATAAATAAGTGGTCCGAAAAAAGTTAATGACAAGAAAACTACACATAACCTTCCTCAGGCAGTGTGTTTGTACCGGGGACAGGAGAGCCCCTCTTGATGAGAAACTGTAAGAAATGATCGGGGAATCCCTCCGGAGTGGAGTCATGACGACTGGATCTGAATTATTTTGTTGTATTTGGTGGTTTGTGTTCCAGCTGTCGATCAGCAACTATATATCCATAATCCACCAGTTAAAGGAAATACAACTAACGTGTTGTGTTATATTAGCTGTACAATTTACCACATATGGTGTTCTTAGTTTCCATACCTCCTGTGTTTTACGAGCGACTTATAAAGTCTTGGCAAACGGCATAAAACACGATTAAACGTGATAGTATATAAAACCATGCTCGTATCTACAACCTATAGAAATGCAAAACGGCGTCAGTTTAGACGTAATTCTGTCCTCCTGCTTACCGCATCATTTATGAGAAAACATTTCATAACATTAACACAACATATTCAAGGTGGTTTTAAATAACATATACGTATTTATTTATTTCTCCAAGTTATGTTTTTGTGTGCACTGAGGAGTCTCAAACAGGCGTTTGTTTAATCATTTTAAGATTGGCTTTAAATTAATCAATGTTTGAAAATGAATTCTTCATATTTGATAAATGAGAGGTAACATTTTATTTATGGTATTATTTCCACATATTTCTCTCCATTCTTCCTTCTGCCAACGGTGTCGCAGTTTCTCGTCTCTCCCGTTTGTGTGCTTAGTGCGTACGCATGGGTTAGAGTTTGCGTGGAGGACCGCACATTTTCCCATCAAGTTAGAATTTTATAAATCGCAAACATTGCATAGAAACTGGCGTACGCCATTTTTTGAGCGTATATCCCTTTATAAATGAGGCCCCAGATCCTCACCATGATTTTAGGTGGTATGAAGTCCTCTCCCTCACAGGCCACTCTCTCCAACTCCCTCTCCTCCTCCCAGTCGGCATACTCGTCCAGCCCTTCATCTAGTGTCCCTGTGGAGGTCTGAAGCTCCCCACCTGACACACACACACACACACACACACACACACACACACACACACACACACACACACACACACACACACACACACACACACACACACACACACACACACACACACACACACACACACACACACACACACACAGGAACAAAGGGAGAGATGAAAGGATAACACACAAACAAGATTAGAGATGAGGGTGCTCCATTTAAAAGCGGTGCGCCTGTTTTTGCAGCACATGAGGGGAGGAGTGGAGGAGTTCAAAACAGACATCAGTCGAGAGAAAACGACACAAAAACACTCTGCTTATGAAGCAGCCACATACAGACAGCTCCTGCACAAAGCAACAGGCAGATGGACGGCTGGTTGACCGGTGAGGATGGCTGAGTAGATAGACAGAGGGTATCAAGATAACCTGTAGACACACAATGACAGTCAGAAAGTACAAAAACAGAGTGCAAGGGTTGCATGTGTCAGTCTCTGTGTGTGTCTAATGTACTGATCACCAACGCTTGTCAGATGTCAATTAATCACAGGTGGTAGAAGTAATCAGATCTTGTACTTGGGTAAAAGTAGAAGTACCAGAGTGTAGGAATACTCTGTTACGAGTAAAAGTCCTGCATTCAATATGTTACTCAAGTAAAATTACAAAAGTATCGGGATCAACTTTTTCTTAAAGTAGCGACAGTAAAAGTAGTCATTGTGCAGATTGGTCCATTTCAGAATAATATATATGATGTGTTTTATAATGATTGATCATGAAAGTGTTCTCAAAGCTGGTAAAGGTGCAGCTAGTTTGAATGACTTTGTATACTGCAGGGTAGCTTGTGGATTTACTCCAGGTGGAACTAAAGTCTGATTTAACACTTGATTAGATTTCACATCATTCATCCATCTATCTGTAAAGTAACTAAAGGTATTAAATACATGTAGTGGAGTAAAAGTACACCATTTACACCTTAATTGTAGTCGAGTAGAAATACAAAGTAGCAAAAAATTGAAACTCAAGTAAAGTACAAGTATCTCAAAATTGTACTTTAGTACAGTACTTGAGTAAATGTTACTTAACATCAACGCAATTAATCAACAGGTGGCTGGGGTTAAGCAATGGCTCGCCAACCTATCCCAGTAAACATTGCTTATGTTACGTCTTTCTTGTCAAATCAGCTTTCAGGATGCCCTTTGTGGCAGAATATAGAAACTACGACAAAGAATAGGACATGCTTATCTTAAAGGTGGGGTAGGTAATTTTGGAGAAACCAGCTTGAGTGCGCTGGAATTTGAAAATACACAGCCGGAAAACATCTGCCACTTCCTTACAGAGCCCCTCCTCCAACACACACGAACGCGCACATGACCAATGAGGGCACGAGATAAGTTTGTGCACAGATGGAAGGCTGACAGCCAGGTAGGCCATCCAGTTATTTTAGCCGGGCCGGCTCAAATGATTGGTCGTGCTTTTTACAGTACTACGGCTTCCACAGATTACATTTTTTTATGGATTTTTTGTCAAAGCACTTAAGATATTCATTACTATCGGGATGTTAAGAGCATTCCATGGAATATAACAAAAAGTGTATCTCGAGCCGGTTTCTCAAACTTACCTACCCCACCTTTAAGTTTTGTGTTATTGTGGGTTTGAGTATGAGTATAAATGTGTGTGTGCTATGTAGTATATTTGCTTGTGACAGTGTGTGAGAGTGTGTGAGAGTGTGTGAGAGTGTCCACTCACTGTCTCTGGAGTCATGCAGGGACTCAGGCTTGACCGGGGTGGGGTCACTCCACGAGCGGCTGAAACTCCGGGCCCGGCGGTCGGCATAGGCTGATGGAGTGAGGCGGGCAGAAGTCACACACACACACACACACACACACACACACACACACACACACACACACACACACACACACACACACACACACACACACACACACACACACACACACACACACACACACACACACACACACACACACGTAATCCAAGGCCATCTTGTTGACCCAGTGCAGAACAGATAACTGGCCCAAGTGCTTGATGTTTACTTAGGTCCAGTGGCAGCGCCAGGGTATGGCTGGGGTAGGCTACAGCCATACCAAGAAATGGCTTAGCCACACCTTAGCCCCACCATGAAAAGTGATGCAAATTCAATTAAATAATAAGCGAAATGCTAAATGTTGAGAACACGGATTGCGAAAATACACGGGTCGTGTCCACAGCACACAAACTGATCCTGCTGTAACAACAAGTGCACGTTACTGATGCAATATGGTTGAGACCATTCGGGCCTATGCTATAAGAGGGGTGCAAGGAATAGTCTAAGTAGTGGGGGAGTTTTATACACTAAAGGTGTGGAAATTCTCTGGCGTTATAATATCAGCGCGGCCGCGGTCAGATCAAAATGCCTCCGAATGCAATTTGAATAGACCTACAGCCAATCAGAGCAACGCAACGTTGGATCTGCGTCATGCCTTATTGATTGAGATCAATCGAAACCGCCATTCAGTATCCCCATTGGATCTTCAACGTGTACTATCATACGTCACGTTCACAGTGATCCCTTTTTATTTACTACAAGACAAATGTGCCGTTTTATTTCATACAGTTCCATTTTTAATGAGACAGGGAAATAATCTAAACCTCACGCGTGGCGTTTCACTGTCAAGGGGGGCGATATAGCGTGTATGTAATTACATTGCAAATACTGATTTGAGCACCACCACTGTATGGGTTAGCCCTACCATGGATTACCCAACAAAAATGCTCTGGCGCCGCCACTGCTTAGGTCTATGTTGTAGTTCAGTTTTCATTGAAAAATAAACTGATTGGATATACAAATGTTGTTCTTGGCTGTAGTTTCCAAAAATATCACAACAGAAAAGAGCACAAAACCCCTATATCTTAAATACATTTTCATTTGTATTCTTATGACCAAACTTCACTTAAGGGACAGACTTGATTTTTCTTTTTGATTTCAATATTAGAATTATTTTAAAACTGTCAAGTGAAGAATGTTGTGATCGATATCAAATGATACAGATGGCATACTGTATTGACATATGTTTCCAGAAAGCTTGGGGTCCAATATGTGGCCACACAATGTTTTGGGTTATAGGATAACTTAACATTCCATTTAACCAAATGACACACAATCTAAATGTAGCATCAGGGGAATTGTCATTCAAACTTGATTTGTGAAGAATTAAAAAAATTGCCCCATACTTTGTTATCAAAATCAAATCAAAGGTTCCAAAGATACAGCGACAGACACACGTGTTGAAGAGCTGAGTTTGCGGACTCAAGTCATCAGTGATAGAATGCTAGAACTCAGCAGTACACAGTCAATATGAAAAACACGATACATTATTTTTGTAAAGTAAATGTTGGTACATAGTCACTGACACTTACATACACACACCAGACCAGATCACCATCAAGACCATTGTAAGGTTATGTTATCTGAACATGCACAGTGCTGTTGCTCCATGCATTAAGAGTGAATGCATCCTGATGTTATGGTACACACTGTAAAGCATGAGTGCATGAATACGTGCTGCTCACAGCAAACATACAGTACAGAGAAAGACTTACTCTGAGCCTTCACCCTGCGGCTGCCCACCATCCTAAGTTGTTTGCGGAAGTTTCTACAATTTTAGGGAAGAGAAGAAGGAGACAGAGACATCATGAATGAGGAACAGTGCCAGAGAATGAAAGACGGATACAAACTTTTAAAAAGTCTAGCCAGAATAATAATAATACATGTTATTTTTATAGTGCTTTTCCCGGTGCTCAAAGTGCTTTACAAGCTATTGTTTCCAGCAGCTAGCTCTGTCTGAAGCACATGCTAACAAGTTAGCACACACTACAATAAGAGCACGAGCCTCTCATGTATTATTAAGTATCAAATAACATAATGAAAAATGAATACACTGCACTAAAAGATATTAAACCTTTTCTTTATCTTTAACATTATGTTTGATGTCTGGCCCTAACAAATCGATGTTAGGGGCTTGTGATTTATTCATATGCTCACACACTGGGGGAAAAGAGTTATACAGAGAGAGAGAACAAGAAAAGGAACAACCTTAAGTGGTAGCAGTCGGAACATTGTGCTTTGTATTATTCATCAAGCTTGTCTGACTGTAATAGTTCTGTGTAGTGCAAACGGGCCACACACACTTGTGTCACTTAACCCTGAACTACTTCCCATATACAGTATATCTAAATACAAATATGTGTCTGTACTTCTTGGTTATCTGTTATTCCTATTTGCACCTTCACCACAATTTGTTTGTGTTGTGTTGTACTGCAACTGCTGCACATCAATAAATAAAGAACTCTTTTTTTGTATTTGTCACAGTATAAAACCTAAACCTTCCTGCAGCAAGTACACACTTCCTCAACTAAAATGTTGTTGCTAAAATAAATATTTTATTTATGTGCACTCCACTCTAACCCCTGATAGAACAACAGTATGATGGTGAAGTCAGAATAAATCTGCCCTGTGATGTCATTCCCTGCGTTTAAAAGATGGGTGTAGCAGGGAGCTGTCGTTATAGAAGAGCTATTGAGAAGTTTATTGAATTCATTCAGTAGAAATAAGAGAAATGTTAAGGTGTGTCAGCCCAGTTGCTGCAGTGTGTAGTTGTACAAACTGGTCGCACTGAGCAGAGCATTAAATGTGTGTGTAGAGAAGGGACGGGAGTGTTTGCAGACTTCATTCTGACAGTCTGCCATCAGAACGACTTCATTTGGACTATATTCTGACTTCATGTTGACCTCATTCTGATTTCATTTTTGGCTACTCATGAGTTATATGACTCAAACGCATGAATATAAGTTACAGTGGTACTGCCCATATTTAGGAAAGGAGGGGCAGGACCTTTATCACTTTAAAAAGCCACACTGGAAACACTGAAACATTGACCTAAATTAAATGTATTATGTCAACAGATTTAACATAACTGTATTAGGTTAGTTAAAAGCAATAATATTAAGTTTAAATAAAAATTATTAGGTTCAACTTAATATTATTGCTTTCAACTAACTTAATTGAAAGTAGCTTTGCCGATATCTGTGTTGATAGGTAAAAGATTGAGAGCGGTGAATCAGCTTAGAAACAGGAAGCGCTCAAACGTTTGTGTGAGTTTATCAAATGTAGCAGTGATTCCATGTCAGCCACAGCTTGTCACAAAAAATCTGACTGATAGTGTATTTAACAAACTTAAACTAGCTTTATTAAATGTCAGGTCTTTGGCAGGAAAAACATTTGTAATCAATGATTTTATCACTGAGCACAATCTCGATGTTATGTTTTTAACGGAAACTTGGATTGAACAAACTAACAGTGCAGCTGTTCTTATCGAATCAACCCCTCCGAACTTTAGTTTTATGAGTCAGGAAAGAATGCATAAGAAAGGGGGTGGAGTTGCTATTTTGTTCAATGATTCCCTTCAATGCAGGAAGACATCTTATGGGAACTTTGCTTCTTCTGAATATGTGGCCCTTCAGCTGAAATGCTCCTCTCGAGCTCTGTTCCTAAATATCTACAGACCACCCAAATACTGTGCAAGCTTTTTTGATGATTTTACTGAACTGCTGTCTATAGTGTGTATTGACTTTGACCGTCTAGTCATTGTTGGTGATTTTAACATCCATGTTGACAACCTCCAGGACAGAGGGGCTAAAGAACTGTTTTGTGTTCTTGATAACTATGGACTGACTCAGCATGTGTCAGTCTAATCCTCCCTAATTGATCTCATTCTAACTAATGTTCCTTATAAATACTCATCTGTGGGAGTATTTGCGAATGATGTGAGTGACCACTGTGTTGTAGCCACAATTAGGGACACTAAGGTCCAAAAGGTTAAACCTCGTATTATCATTAAGAGGGACATAAAACATTTTGTGGAGCAGGGTTTTGTTCATGATCTGTTTGGGTTTGATTGGGGAAAAATCGATCTGTGTGCTGATGTAGAACTGCATGGTCTTATTTTTATCTTGGTTTTATGGAGATCATTGATAGACATGCACCCCTGCGTACATTTAGAGTAAAGGGACGAGACAATCCTTGGTTTTCGGCTGAACTGTCCAGTCTCCTGCATGAGAGAAACAAGGCCTGGGCAAAGGCTAGGAAATCAGGCTCAGAGGTAGAATGGCTGCGTTTTAGGCAACTAAGGAATAGCTTCACTTCACATGTCAAAAGTGCTAAGTCGAAGTACTATTTGTCAGTTACTACAGAAAACCTAAATAATCCTAGGAATTGTTGGAAAGCCATAAAATCGATATCCACCGGTGAGATCCGAAATGAGCTACCTCCGTGCATTACCACAGCATCTGGCTCTATATCGGACAGGGCCACCATGTTAAATTGTTTTAATGAGCATTTTGTGTCCTGCGGTTCTATGTTTGATTCTGTGACTAACTCTGCTTCTGTGAACACCACAGTCTGTGACTCTGAACAATGTGGTCTGGAAAACCCTTTCAGTTTTACTCCTTTTACTATTAATGTTGTTCATGAAGCTTTAACCAAGTTAGATCCTAAGAAACCGGCTGGCCCGGACAACGTAGAACCTTTCTTTTTAAAGATAGCTGCAGATTTTATTGCTCCACCTCTCACTACTCTTTTTAACCTCTCCCTCAGCACAAACACAATTCCAAAAGTATGGAAGTCAGCGTATGTCCTGCCACTACTAAAAGGAGGGGAGGCAACTATTTTAAATAACTATAGGCCAATCTCTAAATTGTCAGTTCTGGCTAAGGTTCTTGAACGCCTAGTGAGTGAACAGGTAAAGGTGTTTCTATGTAAAAATGATATCCTGTCTAAACATCAGTCAGGCTTCAGAAAGCAACATAGCACCATCACTGCCACAATGAAAGTGGTGAATGACATTACAAGTATTTTAGATAAAAAGCAGAGTTGTGCAGCTCTGTTTATTGACCTTTCCAAAGCGTTTGATACCGTCAATCATCGCATCTTAAAGCAGAGGCTAGTCAGTATTGGCATATCCAGCCATGCAGTGGGGTGGTTTGTGAACTACCTCTCTGAAAGGTCCCAATGTGTTCACTTTGATGGGCTGTCTTCTGAGTGGTTAAACATTGCTAATGGTGTTCCTCAAGGTTCTGTTTTAGGTCCCCTTTTATTCTCCATCTATATCAACAGTTTAGGTGAAAATGTGGATGAAGCTACTTTACATTTTTATGCGGATGATACCGTGATGTACTGTGCAGGTCCCTCCATTAAGGAGGCTGGCGTTAAATTACAGGCTGTTTTTAACATTATTCAGACTCAGCTCGCTGAGCTTAAGCTTCTTTTAAATGTTGATAAAACCAAGGTAGTGCTTTTTTCAAAAGCTAAAAAGACACCAGAGCCTGTTTTAGATATTGTTACTATGCAAGGACAAGTACTAGAAGTGGTTGCCTGTTATAAATACCCAGGTATCTGGCTTGATGATTGTCTTACTTTTAAACTTCATGTCAATAACCTGCTTAAAAAACGGAGGGTTAGGCTAGGTTTCTTTTTCAGAAACAAGTCCTGTTTCTCACTTGAGGCCAGGAAAAGGCTAGTCACTGTGACCTTTTTACCTGTGCTGGACTATGGTGATTTGTTGTATATGAATGCACCTGCCCATTGCCTGAACAAGTTAGATGCCGCCTATCACAGCACACTGAGATTTGTCACAAATTGTAAAGCACTTACACATCACTGTACCCTGTATGCCAAGGCAGGTTTGCCATCACTTACTGTACGGAGGCTCAGTCATTGGTACACGTTTATTTATAAAGCTTTGTTGGGTGAACTCCCGTATTATATCTGCTCTCTGATAACACAGAGAGTTGCAAGCAGCTATTGTCTGAGATCGCATGATGTAGTATTGTTAGATGTGCCAAGAGCAAGGACTGTCTTAGGTAAGACAGCTTTTATGTGCGCAGCTCCACTTGCTTGGAACAATCTTCAGCAAGAATTGAAACTGAGCAATCTCATTCCTCTGCATGTTTTTAAAGCTAGGCTAAATGAAATGCTCGTTGATACTATGGGTACTTGTAAATGTCTATAACTATGTAAATGTATCCTGTAAATATAATGTATGATGTCCTTTATTGATTTATGTTTCATGTGGAACCTATATGCTGCAGGTCTCCCTTGAAAAAGAGATCTATGATCTCAATGGGACCAATCTGGTTAAATAAAGGTTTGAAATTACATGAAAAAATGTGACGAAGCCCACGCACAATAAGGGGCACACTCTGGACTTAATTATCTCAAAGGGTCTGAATATCTCTGAGGTTGTGGTGACTGATGTTGCACTCTTCATCATTCCTGTGTTTTCTTTGAGAGTACTATTTCTGTTCACAAAAATGTTCAAAAAGAGGTAACCACAAAGCGATATTTAACTGAATTTACTAGGGAAATGTTTACTTAGAATTATTCTTCCACACTTGCCCCTGCTAACATCGCAGTAAATGAGCTAGTAGATCATATTAATTCAAAAATCTAAAATATAATAGATGCCATTGCTCCAACTAAGGTAAAAGAAGTGACTGGCAAGAAAATATCTCCATGGAGAAAGGCCATGACCGTGAGAACAGAAAAAAGAGAGTGTCGAAAAGCTGAACGCAGGTGGCGAAAAACAAATCTCCAGGT